AGCCCAGGAGTTAGAGGTTGCTGTGAGCTGTGAAGTTATGGCACTCTATCTGGGAGGTTAGCTGAGGCTCTGTCTCAAAAAAAAAAAAAAAAAAAGAAGTGAAAAAGGGCTGGGCGCAGTGGCTCATACCTGTAATCCTAGCACTCTGGGAAGGGAAGGAGGGCAGATGACAGGACCTCAGGAGTTGGAAATCAGCTCTAGCAAGAGCAAGACCGCCATCTCAACTAAATATACAAAAACTAGCCAGGCATCATGGCAGATGCCTGTAGTCCCAGCTACTGGGAAGGCTGAGGCAGGAGGATCACTTGAGTCCAAGGGTTTGAGATTGCTGTGAGCTACGACGACATCACGGCACTGGACTGAGGTTGACATAGTGAGACTCTGTTTCAAAAAAAAAGGAGGCTCAGTGCCTGTGGCTCAAGTGGCTAAGGCGCCAGCTACATACACCTAAGGTGGTAGGTTCGAATTCAGCCCGGGCCCGCCAAACAACAATGATGGCTGCAACCAAAAAATAGCCAGGCATTGTGGTGGGCGCCTGTGGTCCCATCTACTTGGGAGGCAGAGGCAGGAGACTCACTTGGGCCCAGGAGTTGGAGATTGCTGTGAGCTGTGATGCCACAGCACTCTACCCAGGGGGACAGGCTCTGTCTCAAAAAAAAGGAGTCTGGACATGGTGGCTTACGACTGTAATCTCAGCACTTAGGAGGCCAAGGTAGGTGAATTGCCTCAGCTCATGGGTTCAAAACCAGCCTGAGCCAGAGCAAGACCCCTTTTCTAAAAATAGCCGTTGTGGTGGGCCTGTAGTCCCAGCTACTTGGGAGGCTGAGGCAAGAAGACTGCTTGAGCCCAAAAGTCTGAGGTTGCTGTGAGCTGTGACACCACAGTACTCTACCGAGGACAACAAAGTGAGACTCTGTCTCCAAAAAAAAAAGAAAAGAAAAGAAAGGAAGTCAAAAGGGAAACACTGTGTTCACCTGGAATGTATTTCTGAATTTGAAACTTTGTAAACTGGGCTAGATTAAAAGTATTTAGCAGGATAAAAAATATCTAGCTAGGGTGGCACCTGTGGCTCAGTGAGTAGGGTACCAGCCCCATATACTGAGGGTGCTGGGTTCAAACCCAGCCCTGGCCAAACTGCAACAAAAAAATAGCTGGGCGTTGTGGCGGGTGCC